TTGCACTATTAATATCACGATTGAAATTCTTATCTTCATTTATTAATTCACGTCCATGAGGTTTTTTTCTTGGAGTGACCACATACTCTTCACCAACATAAGCCTTATCAGCAATAATTTGCACATAGTCGTTGACGTGTTCTAACAGTCCTGATTCTCTTAAAATTGTAATATCATGTACACTTCCATGATAACATTCGGATACGTGTACTATTCGACGATGAAAATCACAAGCCGCTTGTACCTTTAATGCGTAATTTGTTGAACTTTTCGCATGATAATATGCTTTGCGTTGTTCTGAATCATAAGGTTCAGGTATTGCAATAAAAGTCGAATCAACTATTAATTTATGATTCCGTTCATGGCCATGTGGAGTTCTTCTATTAGTCATGTCAGCAGGTACTGAAATCAATTCTGGATATACGCATGAATGTAAAATATTCACAACTGCTGATTGACTTAAGTTCAATTCTGAAGCAATATAACGTTCAGAATGATAGTGTTTGAAGTGCCATAATGTAACTACAAGCAGATTCATAGGAGATAAATATGATGTGGTAGTACTGTTCGTAAGTTGCTCGTTCCTATGCGAACAATAATTTATAAGTGGCTGTTCACATATCGAATGCAATTCTTGTACTTGTTCGACATCATAACCGGTGTGTTATATGCAAGATGCATCAGTGCGTCTCCATTCTGACCAAGGACGTTGTTCTACAATATGAATAGAATGAGAGATGCATGTGTAAAATAAGAGGAATAATGTTACTCACTATCATTTAAAGCTTGAAACTGTTGTTGTTTTTCCTCCATTTTCTGTTGTTTTTCTTCTTCAAGTTCTGATGTACAATAACTACAGCGGTCACAATGATGATAATAATTCGTGTACAAACCAGATTTTCCTTAGCCAGCACATGTCCAAGTTAACATTGAATGACAATCGGTACAGTATTTTCGACGATCAGTTACAGCAGATCCATAACGAGAACAATCCCATTCGATTTGTGAAGAAGACATAATCCAAGTGTATTAAGCGTCTGTTATCGAGCGAAAGTGTGTTAAAGAAAACGAAGAACGAAAAGAAATGAAAAAAAAATCAAAGTTAGACCGAGAATAATCTAACCCTAAGACGAAGCTAAGACAGAATAAATAAAATATTACCTCACATCAAGCATATACCGAGAACAAGATAGCAATAAGTATGATATATAGGACTATACGTGAGGTACAATTGGTAAAAAAATCATCTTTTTCTGATGAGCGGTTGAAGTTACATAAACAAATGAATGTTGGCGTATCCGGGCGGTTGATCGCGCCCATATAGAAAGAAAGTTTTCTCGAGCTTTATGTAAGATTTTATTGTATGAGCATTACCACTTTTGGTATGCACTAAATAATTTATTCAAAAATAGGACAAAAAAAGTTCGTAGAAAAAAAGCTTATTTTGACGGATGATATTTTTGCATTTGATTAATTAAATCTTGATAGATAACTTTATTTGCCGTTAGAGCCCATACAAAATCAAGATGATTATAATCTGGTATATATTTCTTATAGACTAAATTCTGGATATTATCCAAAATAAAAGCAACATCTTCCGGATCAGCTAGCCAATCTTCACCTGACGAAAATATCGCTGTTGGTACTTTCATTGGACGAATAGAATATATTGGTGGAGTTGTTTGATTGTAATGTAATCGATTTTTATCTGCTGAACCATAATCATATGCTTGAAATTGTTTTGAAAGAAACATTTGTGCAAAATGAATCATATTTTTTACAGATGTTCCATCCGGTTCATGTGATATATAAACTTCCGTTCGTGTAGCATTCAGATTTTTGTTGTCTGGTCCACATAAAATAAATAGAACATTTTCACAAATCAATGGATTCAATATAACATTTCCACATGCATGTTTTGCCAACCATTTGATACTATTTGATGATGCAAGGAACTCTTTATTACCAAATAACAAGTGCCAAAAACTTTCAGGACCCATTAGAGTATTGAATAAATGTTTTAATGGTGATTTTATATGTGTTATGTGGGCAACAGGGGCCAGAGCGCCAAAAAAACTAACATTATTTTGAACAATATTACTCAAACCTCCAAATTGAGCAAAACCAATCAGAGTACCCTGTGAATGGCCGACATAACTGATTTGTGTCTGTTGTGTGACATTTAAAATGTAATAAATCATTGATGGAAGATCATCTCTTGCCATATCATCCCAACTAAAATTCCAGAATTCTGTATCATGATCAGGATTGTATTTGACATGAGCACGTGAATAATAATTTCCACGAACATTACCAAGCCAAACATCATAACCAGCATCGGCAAGCATAAATCCAAGGCTTTGATCCGGAAAATTCATTACCCATGTTGCTGCTGAATCGATTAAACCATGTTGAAGAAGAACAGGTCGACCTGGTGATGATGATTTTCGACCGTGTGGAATACGAAAAACACCAAGAATATATCCATCTTTTGTAATCACTTTATGTTCTTCACATGGATAACCTTTACTTTGAATCAATTGTGTGATATTGAAATCAGCATCAGGATCGTGTTGCGGTTGTCGTCGGATTCTTGACAAAGTCATTGACTGACATAATGAAATTAATACAAGAAGACCAAGAACACCTAGAATTAAACAATAAAATATAATAATGGATTAAAATCTTGGTCATCTATGGCACACTTACGGAGCATCATCTCACGTATATTTCTTGTTCTTGTTATCGCCACACACAACAGACACCAAGTGAATTTCGATCTTTAGTATTGCTTACCTCGAGATAACAGTGATATACTAGAGAAAATAAAAACGACAAACTCTGATATTAGTCATGCGCTCTTATAATAATAATAATATGATTAGGGGTGGCACTTTATCTTTATTTCACTTTATTAAAGTAAAGTAAAGCATTTGGTTTTACTTTACTTTACCCGATAAAGTAAGGTTAATCTACTTTACTTTATCGGGTAAAGTACAGTAGATCTACTTTATCCGAAAAGTAAAGTAAAGTAAAGTAAAGTGAAGTGAAGTGTTTCTGACTTTATCGAACAAGCAAGCTATAATAAAATAAGATAAAGTAAAGCATCTAGTTGATGGCTATTCATTTATTAGTTTCTTATCACACATTAATCACACTCTAATAAGTCAAAAGTTGCGTCGAATTACGGATCGGAGGCCTCGAAAAGTTTAGGCGTGATTTTATTACTTTGGAAGTCAGCATCGAACTCTGTATATTTTTCATAATTCTATATTCCACATGATCATAACTCAAGTTTTGATACTTGGAGACCCTCCTCAGGTATTGAAAAACATTTTCTGGCTTTCCAATCACAAGTCTTTATAATTCAATAGCATCAAGTGTGCAGATTACAAATATCTCATTTATTTTTAGAAAGTGACACGACAGTTGAGTCTCCAACATTTGAGCATCAATAGTTGAGTCTACGTATTAGAGCCCTAGACATTTGAGTGTCTTGCCGGTCGAGATTGTTGCCTTTTGAGCCTTTTCTCATTTTAAGTCAAACCATTAACTAAATGAAGTATTTATTACAATTAGGGCGTGGGATGTAAACGTTCGTAGGGTGTGAATGTGGACTGTGGGTGTGAGTAGCAGTGTTTTATCCAAGTTTTTTTTCTGGAGGAGCGGTTTGCAATTTCTGGGGAGCGAAAAATTTTTTTCAGGTGGGCAAGTATATAGTTTGTTCTGCGATGATCGCGAGTCTCAGGGAAGCGCCGCCCCCTTGGACACTTCCTGGATAAAACATTGGTGAGTAGGGTTGTAGGTATGGGTGTTGTTCTTTCTACCACTCACCCTCACTCTTCACACTAACGTCCACGACACCTACCTGCATCCATACGCGAGGGATGTACCGAGATTGAGAGGCTCAGTCTCTGTTGATCTCAGTTTCGGTTAGTCTCGGTACATCCCAACGTCACGCCTTACCAATACCTGCATATCCACATCTATAACTAGTTCAAGAGTACTTATCAAAACGGTTTCAAACAAGCTCACATAGAGGTTTTATTCACTTAACAAGAGTTAACTTCAGAACGGTCAAAAGTAAAGAGGCTCAACTGTTCAAAGCTCAAATATTAGAAGGCTCAGACGTCCAGAGCCCAAATGTGTAGGCTCAATTATCGCGGTTGAAGCGTTGAAGGCTCAACTGTCTATGTAACCTTCGAAGAGTGCTCCGGTAATAAGAAAGATAGGAAGCACTCCCTAACTCCTTTAAAAACTAGCTTTGTTCAGAAGTTCCACTAAAATACGGTTCTACCTCGTTGAAAATAAGTCCATTATTTGAGAATTTGTTTCTTGATGAGGAAACATAAGAAACCATTGAATGTTCGATTTTTTTCTACCGAAAAATGGCAAATACTGTCTCAATTGGATGATATTATCTTTCATACCTTTTAACCGTACAAAACTAGAATATCTATAGGTACAGTGGTCGAATTGCTTCGCCAAATGTGCAATCAAATGTGCTCTTTGTGATGATATCATTTTAGACTTGAAATTTCCAATCTACAAAAGCACTTTTGGTTCAAAACTCCATCCTTCAGATCCCGTCTGTCTCTTGCTTGGCTAATACTCTGTAGGCCTCGAATAGGAAAATCCAATTTGACTTTAGACAAGTGTCATATCTCGATATAAAACATAGAACTAAGTCAGCATGTGCGAGTTAGAGATGTCAACTCAGTTGGATTGGTGAAGGCAGTCACTGCTTTAGTGTTTCCGTGGGTCAGCCATAGCTCAAACCAGTTGCTTGAGTAGATCATTTATATAATGCCATCTCTGATCTATCTATAAAAAATTTCAGATAGGTTGCGTGAGTTAATGTCAAAGTCATCCTTGTGCTATCCTGTTAAATACGTCAAATTTCATAAAAATTAGTTACGAGAAGGTTTTTTCAATGAGTGTGTGGTTAGAATAGAAACTTTTGGCCAAGTCAAATCCATTTGAACTTCGATGAAACGAACTTGGTGGTATTTTCATGAAATTGTTAGAAAAAACTAGGTCGTCATGGTGCTAGGGAGTGCTTGAGATCTTTCATATTATCTGAGTAATTTCTAAAAATAAACGAGATATTTGTAATCTGCACACTTGATGCTATTGAATTATAAAGACTTGTGATTGGAAAGCCAGAGAATGTTTTTCGATACCTGAGGGGGACTCCAAGTATCAAAACTTGAGTTATGATCATGTGGAATATAGAATTATGAAAAATATACAGAGTTCGATGCTGACTTCCAAAGTAATAAAATCACGCCTAAACTTTTCGAGGCCTCCGATCCGTAATTCGACACAACTTTTGATTTATTAGAGTGTGTTTAATGTGTGATAAGAAACTAATAAATGAATAACCATCAACTAAAGTCCATTTCAGAGTTAAATGGTCGTGACCATTTTTGGAATAACTTTCGATCGGCTAAGACTATCAAGCTCGGGATTTCGTTATTGAAAAGAGCGAGCTCTGATGTGTCTGTCTTTCAGAATGATATCAAGTCTAAAGACAAATTTTTACGACTGTTTCTACATCGGTACTATTTTGTTGCCTATTTTTAGCGAACTTGTTCGATCACCTAACTTTTAGTTATACCAAATCGTAGCCTAAATTTTTTTGTATGCGCAGTAGAAGTAGCACATATCAAAGTAGTCTTCTTGAAAAAAAAAGATCAAGAAGATTATACCAACGTGCCATATTTTTACCATGTATACAGCAGAATTCAGGCTACAATTTGGTATAATTGAAAGTTCGATTATTGGAAAAATTCATTAAAAATAAGCAAGAAAAAGGTATCGATGTACAAACAGTCGTAAAAATATGTCTTTAGACTTGATATCATTCGGGAAGATAGACGTCTCGGAGCTTGCTCTTTCCAATAACGAAACTCTGAGCTAGATAGTCTTATCCGATCGAAAGTTACTCAAAAAATGGCTACTGCCGTTTAACTCTGAAATGGACTATAGATGCTTTACTTTATCTTATTTTATTATAGCTTGCTTGTTCGATAAAGTTAGAGATACTTCACTTTACTTTACTTTACTTTACTTTATCAAGTAAAGATAAAGCACCACCCTATAGATGATTTAAACAATAATAAAATAGATGCATATTTTGAAATTTAAGTATTATTTCTGTACTGTAAGAAAGATTTCATCAACAATAATGAATAGATGTCCAAGAATTCCAAAAAAAGATGATATTTAATGGTTTTTTTAATAGAATGGAATAGCAAAAAGATGAATATCAATTGAAAACATATTTTCAAAAAACAACGAAGTCTATCGCCACCACAAATACCATCCAGTATGATGATTTTTGATAGTATAGTAATAAATCAGCTGGTTACGTTCGATCATTCTTTGGATTTGTTCACTCTCTTGGTTAGATATATATCCAAAGCATAACCAGAAAAGTTGTGAAAGATGACCTGATAATAAAAATTGTACAATTAATTTGTGTTGACGTCTGAGAGTAACAATGTCAAGACGTTCTAAACTACGACAAAGAAGCAGAAAATCGAATATATCCCAAAGAACATTCATCGTCAATGCGTAATTCAGTAAGTTTACTAGCCTTTGATATTGAAGAAGCTTGATAATTCAATTTATTTGACAAACAAAAATCATCACTTAATGACATACCAATCAAGGTTAATGATTGAATATTCAATGAATATCGTAATAATTTAATACGTTTCTTAATAGTAAAATGTGGATCTTGAATTATTAACCGAGTAATTTGCATCAATGGAATTATGCGATTAATATTGAGTATTCATCGATCGTTACTTTCCATATCCCTTTTAATCAAACTAAATTTAGTCACAGTTGGAAAATGAATTGAACTATCATTTGGTATGAAATCGATACAAATCGTCAAATGAGAAGCTGAATTGATAGTTGTCTCATAAGTATCACAGGGTGTGGATGTGGATATGGGTATATTAGAAGAGAACACCCACACCCACACCAACACTCACACCCACACCCACACCCACACCCACACCCACACCCGC